CACACACACACACACACACACACACACACACACACACACACACACACCATGTAGGCCTAGTTGCAGATAGTGTCCACAGTGGGCGTATATGGATCAGACTGAGGTTACTCTACTTTTCCATCTCTATTTTTCACATAAACAGGCAATTTATTCAGGAGGAGGGGTATTAATTAAAACAAATGATCTGTAAAATGTACACCATATCTTGAGGAATATGTATAGATACGTTCTAAAATGCATTTTTTAAATGAAATTACCAAATTAAAAGGGGGGAAAGCATACCAACATATAAACACCATCACTCCAACTCAAGCTACAGCATCTTGATCTCAGTACTTTCTCTGTCCATTCTCACTGTTACAAGTGCTTCAAAAGAACAGACAGGATGGACTACAGAACAAAGCACGTCAAGCCTTAACACCATACTCACCACAGTATGCTACTATGTGAATTGTGACAATAATAGTAACATAAGCTGCTATCAAATTAATGCTAACATGTCTAGAGACCCTGCTGCCAACCAAATATGCAAATGGTAAAAAGACAGTGACATGGGCATTGCCTTTGCACCTGACTGCAAAGACATAATAAAGAAGACCTCTGGAGCAAAGTTTCATAACTGTAAAGAGTTGTCTGACCAACATGATATGAAACTTCACAGACATGTTTTAGTTCATCCATTCAGTGTGCATGGTAATACTATATGTTGTGTGCCATTCCACCACATACAAAATGCAGGCAGGCAGTTTCAATCAGCAAACCACAACACAAACAACAGTACCTAGTTTGAATTTGTATGATGCTACGGTGTCATCATTGTCCAACAAGCAGAGAGTGGTTCATAGGAGGCCCTGTTCAGATATCAGGTGTAGGTGCTCCTCGATAAATATTGAGATCACAGTCATAACAAAACAAAAGCAACATTTCAAATGATATTGCAAGTCATGTGCATTTTCGTTATAAAACACTTCCAGCAGGTGGCAATGTTCTACTAACCACATTGACCTATATTGTGACGTCACCAATAGGCCTTATTCACATGTGACATGTTTACGTGTCATAGAAAGCACAGGTGTAAATAATCAAATGAATGCTGGCTGATTAGCATTTTATTCTGCATGCTGGCTCATCTGGGGCCACTTAAATAAAACAGAGTCATCATGAACTGATTAGTAACACCAATCACGCGTCATGAACTAAGCCAGTAAAGAGTCAAGCAACTGCAAACTAGCGTAATGTTGCAGCTCCAACCAAAAATTGGCATGTAAGCAAACCATCCCATGAACAGAGACAAACAAAACAACCGTTACGAGAAGTAAGAGTGACGACTGGGACATGACTGCAGCATCAATTTAAAATTGAAACTCACCATTTCTGTCTTGGTGTGAGTAGAACACGGGGGACTGAAGAGGCGAACTCCTCAACGAACACAGTCCAAATCTTCAAAGATCCCCTTTAGCTATTCTAAAATCACTGTAAACCACCTTGTGGCCTCTTGTTTAACCTCATCTATTCACTATGAATAATGTACATCACAACCGGTTAACTCCTGGGCAAGCCGTTACCTGTTGGACGTCATTCACCTGTGTGGACTGAGAGGACAGAAAGGGGCGGGGTCGAGAATGATTTCCTGTTCCATTGGTGGAATGTAACTAATATAAGTACATTTTCACAAATATGAATTGGAGGTATGTATACTATACTTGATTATTTTCTCTTCATGCCAATCTCTACTTCTACTCCACTATATTTCACAGGGAAATGTACTTTTTCCTCACTATTTATCTGACAGCTTCATTATACTTTTCAAAGTCAGATTCTTAAATGTAAAACAAGTTTTAAATAAGCCCATGAAGAATATACAATATTATGTTTTGTTACGAATTAAACTACCAAACAGTATATACAAGTACAACTAAAGTGAAGGTCAATTAATCGATAGGTTGATTGAGAAACTTAATTGGAAACTATTTTGATAAACGAGTAGCATGTTCTCTTTCTCTACCGCGCACTCTTTTCTATTTCTACTGGTTAAAGTGGCACTTAAATGTCTGAATCTTCATTTAAGTCACAGGGGCATGGTCATGTCAGGGCAGAATGGTGCATAGAGTTTGTTAGCAGTGACTGAGGAAATTGGGGAATGTATTCTCGGCTGCATTCAAAACATTTAAAAGAGAAAATATTTGCATGCAGCGTGATAGTAGTGAACAATTATAACTATGTTTTGACCACAAATAAGCCCTAGGGTGCAGCTGAGAAAAATAGCATACAAACTGCAGCAACAGCATATTTGCAAATATTTATTATAAGAGTATTTCTAGTATTTCTGGGTGGGTGTATCAAGCAAAAGGGAAATTGGACTTGAGAGTAAAAGGCGAAGAGAGTTGTGGTATCAGTTTTTATTTTACAGACATCAGCTTTTCTTGAAAACATAATACAGAAAATCCCAACCAGGAGATGGCACTGGTCTGTATGTTTTGCAGTTTCACTTTGTGCAATTCGCTTGTTCCAAATACAGTACAGCATCATTTACAACATATTTTAAGGGCTGTATCTCATAAACTATTAAAAAATAAAATACTGTGCCAACGTTCTTATTATTCATAAGCTGAGAAAAGCATCATTGTCTATGGCAGATAAGATGCTACACTGGTATATATCCATTCCATCCTTAATAATGAAAGATGGAAAAGGAAATAGCACTGTATTCAAAATGTATATTATGCAATACCGCACAAACTGTGTCTTAACATTAACACATATGACCAAACTGAACACGTGTGAGTGAGTTGACGCTTCAATTACTCCCTTGTTGGTCATACTTTCACATTAAAATTAGCATCATTTGAAAGGAGGACAAACCACTGTGGATCAATAGAGTATATTGTCTCCAGATTAAGAGACTTGTGAGTTGAATCACCAGTATTCTGACCTCGTATCAGCCTTTGCTTGAATGCATACACAGTATAACAGACATACGGACAGGACAAAACAAGTGACTTTATATTTACTCCAATCTGAGATGTAAGTGCATACATATAAGTGCAGAAAATTACTTTTGACATGCATGACAAACAGTAACAGTTTCCAGCGGCAAATGTATTTTAACATGACACTGTTTAATGTAACCAAGGTTTGGTTTCTGGTTCATTCTGTTCAAAGAAAGTCACAACTTCCAGACATTGCTGCTATTTTGAAGACATGTATTCATGAATCCATTCCTACAAATGGGAAATTTGTATGTGTACTGTTGACACATGAAACATTATGGTATATACAGTATGTTGTGCCAGCAGCTTCACAATAAATGCATGGGCCTATACACAGAACGGATAAGGCAAGCTACTTATTCTCGAATAGCGTGGAGCAGAGGTTAGATATACATAGTTATAGATATAACTACAGGCTATATAACACAGGTACGTGCAGGTATGATTGCCGGGTGTCACCCTGTGGTTTGCATATAAGGTTTCTCATTTACAGGCAACAAGGGCGCGGCTTTAATCCTACTCTTTAAATGCGCGCGCCTAGTTCACTCAAGTTAAATAAGTGCGGGAACACGCACGGCCTACTTTTCCCCAATTCTATCGCTCATATGCGGAGAGAGAGAGACGCGGGAGATGGTTTCCCCTTCCTGGCTGCTGCTTTTGCTGTGCCAATGCGCAAACAGTCCACGCCGTGGGGTAAGTCTCCCTAAATTGAGGCAGCGCTCGACGCGATCATGCGATTGAATGACGAACGCGTCATGCTCGTCATGCTCGTCATGCTCGTCTTCTGTTCCGCGCGATCGGTGGCTCGGTGTTCCGCAATCCCCTGGGATACTGTACCGCCCTCGATGGCTCTGCAATCGGCGCTTCGCTCGCACTGAATGGCTGCCCGGAGCAAGGAACAGCGGGGAGAGAGTGCGCTGCGTCTCCTCCGTTGAACCAACGCGTCTGCATCCAACATCCCGGCGTGGGGGTGAGTGTCTTGTGCCGTTGTATGAGGCGACCTGCCGGGGTCGTCTGAGGATTCACCGGCGGCGGCAGAAAAGGGGGCGGAGTGGGGAGAGGGGTCTATGCCGGTGTCCTTAGATAGCGCCGTGGATATGGGGTTGAACGGTCCAGTAGATACGGGACAATACAAGTTTGGGATAAATATGCTGTGCCGCTTAGGGGACGGGTCCAGGTCGGCACAGTCCTAAACTTTCTTTAGCCTTTTCAAACAGTGAAATGCACCTTAGTATCAACTTAGATGTTTGTAGTTATATTTACTGTAAACTAACTCTTCTCTCAAATATGCAAAATTGCGATGGCAGTCAGTTTTTTGTTGTTGTTGTTGGCACGGCAACACTTTGCGAGCGCCGTTTGTGAAGAATTGTGCCTTGTTGTGCCCCCCCCCCCTCCCGTCCCCCCCGCTCCGTGCCGCACTGGTTCCGTCTGGCTCGCCCTCAGCTGCTGCGTGTCCTGGGATGACCTGTTGATGTCGGTAGAATGGAGAATGGCAGGGGGAGCGATTTCCCCCATCACCAAAATATTTAAATAAGCAACATTTGGGCTTGACAACCGGCGTCGCAGCACAGCTACCTCGTCCCGCACAGGCAGTAAGTGTCTTCTGTATGTATTTGAGTGTGGACTATGGCGGAAATGCTTGACATTGTGCAGCTGGGCTGAGCGTGCATGAGGTGGATGGTGCGCCGGGGCGAACCCAAAAATATTTAACAGTAGTGTTAGCTTAGCCATTAGCCACCTCTATAGGCCTGCTGCGGATGGGAGATGGCATCAAACATGTGAACGCTGTCAGCCACAGTGGAGAAGGGGGACTCAGGGAGACGCTAAGTCTGCTCGGGATGATTTAGATTAATATACTTGAGTGTCATTTAAACGGGAACACACCGTCGCCCTCACCCGGGTATCACCGAGGCTCGCTGCCATCATGTGTCGCCTCCCCCCTCCTCCTCCTCCCGTCGCCTCCCGGCTCCGGTGCCAGCAGACAGTCGAGCACTCCCGGCGTGTAGACTGGCACACGGAGCGGTGTGTTAACGAGCTCCTTATCTGGTCCCCGTTACCCGGCATCCTTTCCCGTGTCCACGTTTCTGCACAGAGCCAGCATTTAGTCGGGAACACTCGTATCCACAGGCACAGCATCTGAAGTTGAGAAGTTTAGAAGCTTTCGATGTCTGTGCTGTTTTATACTCAGGACCCGACCCCCCCCCCCCCCCCCCCCCCCCCCGTTATACAAGAATAACCACGAATCGGGCCTGTGCATATGTCTTGATTTGCAGGCATGGGCACATGAGAACCAGGAAATACCTATAGAGGGAATGCATTGTGTGCCAGCTGCACCAATGACTCCACAGTAATCGTCCACACAGCAGTGTCAGAGCCCATGCTCGTTTCAAAGGTAAAACTGGAAAGTAGTCAGACGGTATGAGTTCCGAAATATGTTGACAGCCGTCCTATCATAACATAACATAAGCCCTCTGAATGTGGGCAAAACATTCTTAAGGCTTACCATAAAAAAGTCTAAGATCTTAAGTATGTTGTGAGTATGAATGACCTACTTTCCCCACCAGGCTGGTCGGTAGAAGCCACAGGGTTTCATTCGTTCACATGGCTGCGATCTATATATTTAATGGAATAAGGACCTGAGTTGATCCCTCTCATCTCTGCAGGCCTCACTGCCCCTCCTTGGTGCATAAATACACACATGCACACACACACACACACACACACACAGTCACATTCTCTCTCACTGTCAGGGCAAACTGTGCAAACACACCCTGCTCTCAGCCCCGTGTTTGTGTGTCTTTATGTGCACGCATGTGTGCTTACTGCGGCTTGCCAAACTGTAAACAAGCAGTATTGTCTAATGCCTGTGTGTGACTCAGTGTGCCTTTTGTGGGTTTGTTTGAGTTTGTGTGTGCGCATCTGTGTTTTAGTATGAGGGAGATGGAGCTTGAGTGAGACGGAGACAAAGGGAGCATTTCTCTTTACCCTGGAGCTTGGCGAGGTCCCAAATGAAAGGCTTTGGATATGATGGGGCGGCTCACTCCAGCCCTCATCAGTCAGTCACACCAAAGTCGGTTGTATGCCTCTCGCAGGGTGGGCTTCAATCAGTTTGCTCTCACAGTATCAGAGATTGCCTTTGTTTGGTATGTATCTTCACGCGTGTGCGCATGCAGCTAGTACCCATGCGACATTTGTAAGTGGAAAAAGCAGCTTTATCTCGGCCCGTACACTCTTCTGTGTCTGTGAGAACCCTCGTGGCTGGTATTCTGCTTTAAGTAAAGGTTTATGGCCAATAAAATGCCACCACGTGGGCCTATCAATGGGTCTGTTGTCCTAGCTGTGATTGTGGAGGTAATGTGGTGGTTGTGGGTATAGAGGGCATATAATGCTTATACATGTGAATCCCTTAACCGCAAAGTAGAATCCTCCCCACGCTATTGTGTAGAATGAGGTCATGTATACAAATTCAAAAGCATAAAAGAAAATATCTGGTGTCTTTACATATCCTGACACTGAATACAAAGCTCGGTCTCACAGAATCGAGCCGTAACACACAGTCTGTGCACAGCATTCATATCCTCAGCAGAGCAATCTTTGCTTCACTTTAATTTAATATTGACACTCATAATATAGAAATCTCTAGGAGGGCGAGGGGTGTGTGTTTACCTTTTGACTGTTGAGAGAAGTGGATGGAAACATGCTATGTGCTGTTTGTTTAGGCAACACACTTTTTGCACATAGAATAACAGAGCATGGCCCGGTTATCTGAGGACGCGGGGTTTTATAGCTCATTGAAAACGGAAAATAAAAAAGGCTTTTACTGAGCCCGCTCCTGGCCAAAACAACTACTGCGAGGCTAAAGTGACGTATAGGATTAACGCAATGTAGAATATCCCGAGAAGCTTCAGCACAACTTTCAAATATCAACGTCCTGTTAGCCTGCTAAAATCCCTCAGTGGGACCGTGTGAAGAAATATTTGTGGTCCGTGTCAATTGGACATGCCGAGGGATAGAATGCTTATTCGGGACTTTCTTTCCCCTCTAGAATAGAGGTGTTTCACTGTGAATAATTTGGCTTAGTACTGATAAAAAGTCGACTTCTATTAGATTTAGTGTATGTTTGGCTTTACTTTGTCCTAGTGAAATACTGTCAGACGTTTTATTGTGTCCGTTAATGTAAGAGTCTGACATTCCTCACCTGTTTTGTGTTTTAGGCCCGTTCTCCCTGAGCGCTCTCTCTCTCTTTAACACAGCCATGTTACATTACACCTCCTCCTTGCATTGCCTCCTGCCTCTTACACAAAAGACACAGCACGGGATAAAGCCGCGTTTGTCATTGTAGTGAATGGGCATTCCCAGCTCATCCCACCTGGAAACACGACCCCGCTCGTGACCATAAAACAGTGGGAACACTCAAATGAAAATCCTGTTGAGCAGTGACGTGTATGGCACTGCATGTGCTGACTCCACGTATAAACAGCAACAGCCTGATACTTCAATGCTTAATAACTAGGGTTTATAACATGTGTATTACAGTGTCGCTTACTGTAATTGTGTCAATTCTCTCTTTCCTTCGCACACTTTTCAATTCTCTCTGTTTTTCTTTCTTTCCCCCAAACAAGACCCTTTGGTGGTGTGCGTCGGCGCACCATGGCCCAGACCCTCCAGATGGCGATCCCAAACTTTGGCAACAATGTCTTGGAGTGTCTGAATGAGCAGCGGCTGCAGGGCCTCTACTGCGATGTCTCCGTGGTGGTTAAGGGCCATGTCTTCAAGGTACTGATGGGACAAGCGAGTAATTACCGTTTTGTTTTTTTTGTTTTTTTAAATGGAAATTACGCTTGTATTGAAAGTCCAGGCTAAATTTAGAGAAGCTAAGGCTGAGGTGGTGTAAACGATTAGTCCGGTGGCTCCATGGCAGCCTGGTTGTGTGGAGGATGGAATGCCAGTATACTTCAAAAGAAGTGTTGTTTGGATAGTCTGGAAACAGGGGGGGGCCAGTCATCATGGTAACTTTTATAATGTGTGAATTGTTTTTCGGTAACTTTTTAACTGGATAGTGAAACCTGGAATCATGATGCACTTTCACAGAGAGCCGCTTTTCATCTTGGTATGGATTTGAGAGAGATTTTACTAAATTCTTCCCGCCTAGCTGAAGGTTTGGAGATAAGTTAAATCACCCGCTGCAGTCTTCACTTGGAATGACAACTGGAGCGCTTTAATAACACGCCATTTCCTACTTCGTCTGTAGAGACAATGGGTTAGATTGCCCCCAATTGAATGGCCCTGAGTCTCTGCTGGATGTCATTCCTCGCTCTAATCTCGGCAGACCCTAAAACTAAAAGAGCTGCCACTTTGATGTTGAAAGAACTTCAAATCGCTATTTTAGGATTCATGTTTTGTTAAAAACCTATAAACGCATAAAGAAGAACAACCGTACTTAAATACTGATTACATTTACCAATACTTGGCACCAAACGCTTGCTTAGTGGTTAATATCTTAAGTCTTTTTCGTTTTATACTCTAGTGTATTTAAACTGTATTTTATTTAGGCAAAGTCTAGTTTTGTTGTGGTACCAAAACTCAGTTAGGGTATTGTCATATTGGAATGATATCCAGTAAATTAGTTTGTAAGAGTCTCTTGCGATCGTGTTCTCATAACAAGGAACTCTCTCTGATCTAAAATCTGCCATTTAATGCTGTCTTCTAACTTCTAATGGGACGATTTATATCTGTTGTACATCTGTTTTTGTCTCAGGCCCATCGAGCTGTGCTGGCTGCTAGCAGTTCTTATTTCCGGGACCTTTTCAGCAACAGCAATAGCGGAGGCGGTAGCAGCAATGAGACGAGCCCAACCGTGGTGGAGCTCCCATCGGCGGTGCAGCCACAGAGCTTCCAGCAGATTTTGTCCTTCTGCTACACAGGCCGTCTCAGCATGACGGTAGGGGACCAGTTTCTGCTCATGTATACCGCCGGCTTCCTGCAGATCCAACAGATCATGGAGAAGGGCACCGAGTTCTTCCTCAAGGTAAGGCTGAAATAGATTTCTGTTGGAACTTTTCAAAGCAAATAAACACAGTATCTGAGACAAAAAAGGGACAAGAAGCGTTTGAGTGTTCAACTTTTTAAGTTTTCAATGCTTTGAGCACAAATAAACCAAATGCCATTTACATTTAGGTGGCAGCAACATTCTGTGTTTTGTTTTTTTAATGTGAATTGGTTGATTAAAATGAAGTGTGTATTCCAGTTGGAACGGTTCTGATAAATATGTTAGCTGAGGAGTTTGTAAAGACAAAGATGAGCGAGGTTCATCTGCAGAGGGGGATTTATTAGCTAAAGGAATTTAAGAGCACTCTGCCATGTAGTTGTTGAAATACCTTTTCAGCGGTGAAAAGTAGAGATGCACAACTGACATTAGTTCACGGTCTGATACGGACTCAAATAGCTGGAGTGGGTGTTGGTGACGATGGCCTAATCTGGTATTGGATACCGTTATTTCAATAAATAGCAGTTCTGTACATTTATCTATTGATTTTAATTTTTTTTACAAAAGCAAGGAAAAGCAATGTTTAAGTCCAACTTATTGTTTGCTTCCACATAAAAGAATAATGTCAGTGGAAGAGCCACACAGTGAAATACAGCTTAATAATGAAACACTGATACCAGATCAGTACTCGGGATCGGTCGATACCCAAAGCCCCGGTCCAGGTACCAGGACTAAAAAAAGATGGATTGGTGCATCCCAAGTGAAGTGCTGGTGGAAGTAAAGTTATAGTGTGACGATGGTTCTAGATGAAAACCAGGAATAATCATACAGAATATGAAGGGAATCTAGCCAATGGTTGTTGATCCTTTGGAGCCACCAGCAGGGCAAAATCCTACATGCAAACGCATATCTGTTGCTACATCAATGTGTTCATTTCTAGGTCTCCTCTCCCAGCTGCGACTCGCAGGGCCTTCACGCTGAGGAGGCCCCGCCTTCGGAGCCCCAGAGCCCCGTGACGCAGACCAGTAACGGCGCAGGCCGGCCTGCCTCGTGCCTGACGCCGCTCCCTCTGGTATCACGGGTGAAGACGGAGCAGCCCTCTAGCCAGCCGGAAGCAGCCACTCCATACTCGGTGGTCTGCACTCCTGTGGCCAAGCGGCTGTGGGAGGGTGGCAGCAGCCGAGATGGAAGCGGGACGGGCTCAGGGGGAGGAGGCGGAGCCCGGAAGGCAGCCCGTTATTCCCAGGAGGCGGTGCGGGGCAGTGCCATTCAGAGCCCCGGAGCCCTCGGACTGGCCATGGGTATGGGTGCCAACGTAACCAGCCTGGTGGGCATGGTGGCCGGCGGCGGGCTTAGCGGCAGCGCCGGCACCAACGGGAGCTCTGCCGCAGGCCTCGGCATGTCGGAGGGCGCCAGCCCCGGCACCCTGAGCACCTACGCCAGTGACTCGCCGATCAGCTACCATGATGATGAAGAAGAGGAAGAGGGGACAGATGAATGTGCCGAAGAGCAGTACAGGCAAATCTGCAACATGTATACCATGTACAGCATGCTCAATATGGGAGCCGCAGGTAATGGACAATGAGACAGAGTAGTGTTTATAGTTGCACCTGAAAGACGGAGAACATGTGGTCTGACTTACAGTATATCTTCGATACTCTTTGCTTTCACTGCTGAGTTTCCCTGTTTTTATCTTTATTGCTTTAATCTATTTTCTCTGTGTGTTAACGCGATATGGTTTTATTCTGATTCTGCAGCTTTGTTTTTCTCCAGCAGCTGGTGAACGTGTTGAGGCTCTACCAGACCACACAGAGACACGGGGTCGCATGCGAGGCAGAGATCTCACGTGTCTCCCCGTAGAACTCATCGCTCAGATAGGCAACCGCTCTCATCCCAAACTGTACGAGGAAGGAGACCCTGCTGAGAAACTAGAGTTAGTCTCAGGTATGCTTTGTGTCTTCTTTACCAAAACAGACTTTGACAGAAGCGAGTTTTAGAGGAGCTGGTGAAATGCACATACTTTTTTTTTTTCCAAAAAATGGAAGATATATGTATATCTGTGTTAGAGAAAAATACATGTCAAGGACTTCCCATGGCAATGTCTGTGTTACTTTACAGGCACATTCCTCTCAATATATTGCGTGACTGAGGGAGAGAATAATAATAATAATAATAATACATTTTATTTATATAGCGCTTTTCATAAAACTCAAAGACACTTTACATTAAAATCATCATATATAAAAGCAATACACTAAAAACATAAAATACACAATAGTGGTCACACATTAAAAGCAGTTTTGAACAGGTGGGTTTTGATTTGAGATTTGAATGTGCAAAGGTCAGTGCATCCTCTGATGTGTTTGGGGAGAGAGTTCCAGAGGGAGGGGGCAGATATGGAGAAGGCTCTGTCACCCCATGTCCGGTGCTTGGTCCTGAGTGGAAGAGACAGGAGGTTGGCATCAGAGGAGCGGAGCCGACGGGATGGAGTGTGGTGGTGAAGCAGGTCGGTGAGGTAGGAGGGGGCCTGATTGTGGAGGGCTTTATGAGTGAGGAGAAGGATTTTGTATTGGATCCGTTGTGGGATGGGGAGCCAGTGGAGGTTCTGGAGAACAGGGGTGATGTGGTCACGGGAGCGGGTGTGGGTGAGCAGGCGAGCAGCAGAGTTTTGGATGTACTGGAGTTTATTTAGGATTTTGGATGATGTGCCATGGAGAATGCTGTTGCAGTAGTCAATTCTTGAGGTGATGAAGGCGTAGATCAGAGTTTCAGCAGCAGATGAGGAGAGTGATGGGTGGAGACGGGCTATGTTTTTTAAGTGGAAAAAGGCAGCTCTGGTGATTTGTTTGACGTGGTGTTCAAAGGAGAGGTTGCTGTCGAACATGACTCCAAGGTTGCGGATGTGTGGGGAGGGAGACAGAGTGGAGTTGTCGATGGTGAGGCAGAAGTTGTGACTGGTTTTGGTGAGGGATGTGGGACCGATGATAATCATGTCAGATTTATCACAGTTCAGTTTGAGGAAGTTGGTTTGCATCCATGATTTAATGTCAGTGAGGCAGTTGGTGAGAGTGGAGTGAGTAGCAGTGGTAATGGCCTTTGTGGAGATGTAGAGCTGGACATCATTGGCGTAGCAGTGAAAGTGAAGACCATGTTGACGGATGATGTTACCAAGAGAAAGCAAGTACAGGATGAACAGAAGAGGACCAAGCACCGAACCCTGGGGGACGCCTTGAGACAGAGGAGCAGTGGTGGAGGTGCAGTTGTTGATACTGATGAACTGTTGTCTGTTTGTGAGATATGATTTAATCCAGGAGAGATCAGTTCCGGTGATGTTGAGGGAGGATTCGAGGCGGGAGAGAAGGACGTTGTGGTTGATGGTGTCAAATGCTGCAGTGAGGTCGAGGAGGATGAGAATGTTGAGGTGACCAGCGTCGGAGGAGAGAAGGAGGTCGTTGGTGACTTTGAGGAGGGCTGTTTCAGTGCTGTGCTGTGAACGGAAACCGGATTGAAATGGCTCGAACAGATCGTTGGAGATGAGGTGGGCTTTGAGTTGTGTGGCGACAATGCGTTCCAGTATTTTTGACAGAAAGGGAAGATTGGAAATGGGACGGAAATTGCTCATGGTGTCAGGGTCAAGTCCAGGTTTTTTGAGGATGGGGGTGACAGCAGCCAATTTAAGTGTGTCGGGGACTGAACCGGAGCTGAGGGAGGAGTTAATGATGACTGTGATGAGTGGTGAGATGGCTGGGAGACAGTCCTTGACCAGAGTAGATGGGATAGGATCCAGGATGCAGGTGGAGCTTCTCATTCCATTTGTGAAGTTCGGCAGCTCCAATGGGGACACAAGGGAGAACTGAGAAAGGGGCTGCGGGGTGGAGGAGGGGGGGGGCAGGTGGAGAGATGGAAAAGGCGGGGGAGGTGTTCAGGTTGCTGTAAATGGTGTCAATTTTTGTTTGGAAAAATGAAAGAAAAGAGTTGCATTTGTTCACTGTGAAGGATGTGGAGGTGTTGTCCTTGGGTTTGAGAAGCTTGTTTATTGTGGAGAAGAGAGCCTTTGGGTTAGAGGAGCCAGAGTGTATGAGGTGTGAGTAGTAGGTGGACCGGGCTGAAATGAGAGCGTCTTTGTATTGTTGAAGGTAGTCGGAGAGGGCTTGGAGATGGACTGTTAAACCGGTTTTCTTGCAGAGTCTTTCAAGCTGGCGCTTTCGAGATTTCATCTGGTGGAGTTCAGGAGTATACCAGGGAGCTGAGTGTGTGAATGAGACAGTTTTGGTTTTGATGGGAGCCAGCTGATCAAGACAGGAGGAGAGTGTGTCATTGTAGTAGTTTACAAGATCGGAGGGATTATCAGACAGCGGGGCAGGGGAGGCAGACATGGTACTGGCAAGAGAGGCTGAAAGAGTTGTGGGGGAGATAGATTTGAGATTTCTGAAGGATATGTTGCGCTTCGTTTTTGGCATGGGGATAGGGATGTCAATGTCCATGGTGATAGCCAGGTGGTCAGAGACGTTGAGGTTGAGGCTGGAGAGTTGCGGTATTGTGAGACCAGTGGAGCAGACCAGATCCAGGATGTGACCTCGGCTGTGGGTGGGGAAGTTGATATGTTGTGTGAAGTTGAAGCATTGTAGTAGTTCCAGGAATTCTGTCGTAGATTTACAGTCAGTGTTATCAATGTGGATGTTAAAATCACCTGGGAGGAGAACGGAAGGTGAGATGGCACATAGCTGAGTCACAAAATCTGAAAAGTCAGAGAGAAAGGAGGGATTTGGCTTGGGGGGACGGTAGATTACAGCAGTAACCAAAGGAGTAGGACCAGAGAGTTTGAAGGCAAGGTGTTCAAAAGAATGAACGGCAGGAATGGCAATGGTGGTTGTTTTAATGTCCTTCCTGTAAACAGCAGCAACACCACCTCCCCGCCCCTCAGGACGAGGTTTGTCAATGTATGTGAATCCGGTGGGAGTGGTCTGGTTTAGTGAGAAGTAGTCCAGGGTTTTATGCCATGTTTCAGTGAGGCAGAGGAAATCAAGGTTACTGTCCGTTATGAATTCATTCAGAATGAGGCTTTTGTTGTTGAGTGAGCGAGTGTTGAGCAAAGCCAGTTTCAGGTGACATTGCTTTGTGATATGCTGTGAGGACTGAGGAAGGGGACGGAGATTGGACAGATTCACGTGTTGTTTGTTGTGGTGACGTAACAAGGAAGTTCGGGTGCGACAGGACCAGAGGGATGGGATGGAGTTTGGGGACGTGAAGTTGTAAGTGAACATGCGGCCAGAACCTCTGTGTGAAGGATGGCCTCGGCGAAGTATTCCATGTTCTTTGAGAATGTCCATGCAATCCGGACGCAGGTGGTTGTTGAAGTTGTGAAGATCTGACGTGGAGTACAGCGGCGGCATGGTCCGGTTGGGGAGCGCTAGCAATAAGCTAGCATTAGCTGGTGACCAAGAGCCGGCTGTCCGCGAGAGGAGAAGCGATGTGAGACCCAGGAGTATCAACGGGATGATCCACAACATAACAGCGGAATGCAGAATGAGAGAGTCATGAATAAAGAAAGAAAGGGAGGGAGGTAACATACACCAAGCTAGTAGTGATGGGTAGTTTAAGGCAAAGAAAATCAAGAAAAGAAATGTATTGTTAAGAACATAATCATATTAAGATTATACCCATTATGAAACCTGTGGCGCAGATGTATATATGTATAGAGAGAGAGCAATTAACAGAACAAAGAGAAAAAGAAAAACTCCCAAGAACAGCCTCCTCACTCCCTGATATGAATCCCACTCGCCACTAGATAAACATGATCAATTCCAGTAAATCACAGTGAAGATCTTTATCATTACTAACCATAAAATCTGAAAATGAACAGATCACCCCGTTGTAAAAGCGAGACAATAAGTAGGTCATAAATGGTGATAGGTACTGATGATATTTGCTGGTTCATTTGTTTGCTGGTTTTCATTGCATGTGCATTCTTTGCAGGTACTTCTGTGTATATATCGCGAGCCCAGCTAATGAACTGTCATGTGAGCGCAGGGACCAGACACAAGGTGCTGCTCAGGAGGCTGCTGGCCGCCTTCTTTGATAGGTTTGTTCCCTCTGTGTCTATGTCTGCAAGTGTTTCATGTAACATAAGCAAGCGCTTCGTTTTAATATAGAGATCAATGTATTTTTATTTTTTTTATCTGCTGTTATTAGAGGGATATAACAACACGTTTATCTGTCCTGTGTTCCGTGCAAATCATTCTTATTTTTGATGCATCAGGAATACTCTGGCCAACAGCTGTGGAACAGGCATCCGCTCGTCCACCAATGACCCGAGCCGCAAGCCCCTGGACAACAGAGTTCTGCATGCGGTCAAATGTGAGCGTACATGTACAAGCATGCAAACAACTTCCACATTTTCACCATGCATTCATATTTCACATAAACATATACATGCATATTGTAAAGCATGTTGTTGCTGAATTTAATGTTTGGCTGTTATATGTCTTAAGTCATTTAACAGCCAAACATGCCTGTTTTTAGGCTACTTTTGGATAAAAGTGCAAATGAGAGATGATTTGCTCCCTGTGATTAGCATTAGGTAATAACCCACAGTGACCACTAGGTAGCAACATCCACCTATGTTCACATATGTGTGAGTGTATGTCATAATGTGCTCAGACATTTATGGAAAGGGATAACTTGTGTAACTCCTTTGATAGCTTAGTGAATTCTGGGTTCACTTTGTGAAGATGAATAAAATGTCCCTGCATCTCGTTAGTGAGATGAGAGGCAGCAGCACATGTTTAAGACATCTGCTGCTCTATTTAACAGTGTGAGGGCCTGTAGGATGATCTCTCTTTAACTTAGGGAGATGTGTACAGTACTTACCAACATCAACTAAAGTGGGTATGAATGTTGTTTAGCTTCCTGTCTGCTTCATGACATTAGTTCTTAGTTGTCTTTGTTGTAGTTCCCAGCATAAGGTGCAATCAGCCTAACCTTTTTTTTGTTTTTTTGTTCCTTTTCCATGGCAGTTTATTGCCAGAACTTTGCCACCACCTTCAAAGAGAGCGAGATGAACGCCATCGCAGCCGACATGTGCACCAATGCCAGACGCGTAGTCCGTAAGAGCTGGATCCCCAAGCTGAAGCTACTGATGGCGGAGAGCGACGCCTACACCGCTTTCCTTCCCGACCACGTCAAGATTGAGGACGACACCCTGGGGGCGGATCCAGCCTTCGATCCCGCCTCTCTGGAGGCCGCCGGCGGTGCTGGCATGGAGTCAGGTGGCTCTTCAGGTGAATCGCTACCAGGTGTGGGCGGGGACGGAGGACCGTTATTTTGAACATTGTGTCCGGGGAAGTTTGAAGTTTGGTGACACACACACACACACACACACACACACACACACACACAACACACACCAGAATTCCCCAGTTCTGCTTGCCTCTACACTCTTTGGTCCACGCTGATCTCTCACATCTGACTATCTATACTACACTGCTCGGGTCAACAGTTGTTGTTACCCTGATGTAACCAGGACATGAAAACTTAAATTTTCGCTTCATGACTGTACAATGGAGTTAGTCGAGTAAAGGGAGCGAGTGAGAGGGTTTTCTCCTAACTGCCCTCTGCCTCCCCTTGTCTTTTTAATGTGTGTAAGTGCATCCACTGTTATTACATATTAAATACATTCCCTTGAATGCAGGTGATGGGGTGAGTTGCCAGTGTAGCCTGAGGAGGAAGGTTTTTGACTTGATCGAGTTGAGGTGGCGAGTATACTGAATTTTAGGTGTCAGTGGCATTTTTTTCTCTATGCAGCCCTGACAGCTTGTAATCCAGCCTAGGAACAATAACTCAATTTAAAATAGATACAACAGTAAACATTAACACTACCTGTTCTTCCTCCCCTCGCATCCTCCACTCACCACCCTGCAAGTATTCGTCACCACATCGTCTCTCTCTAGACCAGAGATTTGCACCTGAGTGTTTCATTGTGCAGTGTCTTACAGAAATGTGTCTCATCTTTCTCTGTTTTCTAAATTTTTAGCATGTTTCTCCGTCTATGAACTGAAAAAAAGTGATCCAGAGTGAAAGGGGAAAGCTTTTTACTGAGTTGATTGTAAAGAACGTTTAAAGGGCAACAGGATCATATTTTTAGAAGATAAACTATATTTATACAAGCGCCCATGCCTAGAACGGTGTGAGCCGAGAGAGTGAAAGGGATTGTTTTAAAATCTCGATCTTCATGTTCTATTGAAAGAGGTCTTGTCAAATATGGAAAAGTGCTATTTTTGCATAAAAAGGAGTTTAATAAAGCAGTCTTATCACAAGACCCATAGCCATTTATTTTTATCTTAATTTGAAAGTGCAGAGTGATGGATTGAGCAGTTGAACTGCTAAATCTGAAGCATTTCATCTTCTGCTCACGGGCATGGAAGGAATAATAAGACTGATTCAGCTGGCTTGACTGTTTGTCTGTGATATCCATCTCTTGTTTAGTTGTGAACCTGCAATGTTTGCCTCCTTCAATAAAACATTGGCCCACGAGTTCAAGGATTACCGGTTAAAAGGTTGTATTGATATGACAACTCCGATACTTTCTTCTTTGTACTGAAGTTATTGAAAATGAAAATAAACTGCAAAATCCCCAGGAAATAATTCTGGACTATTGGAGTGTGCCTTTTGATTGAATAAGCGGACGCCTGGTGGGTACAGCGGTGTCACGAGGAGGCAATATTGCTCGAAGCAAATAGAATTGAATGGTACGATCCATGTGTGTGCGAAGCAGTTCTTTGGGGAAAAAGGAGAGCCTTTTTTAGTATGTCGTTTATTCATGTGTCGAATAAGGAAATTCAAAATGGCTGACGGTTTTATTTGAAGAGTTTGACATGATTTTGCACCTTCCGTGGGAGTGGAGGTTTCTGCACCTTAATGAACCTGCACCTTTTGAGAAATGTTGTGTAGCAATTGAAACCCTTTAGGTGGAATTTCTCTGCTTTCTTTTTGTTTTTCCATGTCTGCTGCGTGTGTTTCTTGTTTTTCGAAGTGGCACAAATCCCTACTGTAAATAATCAAGACGACTGTTGAGTTAAATCCCAAGTGTTCTTCCTTTCTGTTGCTGGATGCATCTGATTTATGAAATGTCAAAAACTGATCTTTTTTTTCATGTGAAAGTTTGCTAGAAGCTTCTTGAATGACCTACGAGTTTTAGCACATGGGGATTCATCACTCCTGGTGCAGATGGATAGAAGTGGACCTGGTCTGGGTGTGACTTAGGAATGTGAAGGGCTCTCACAGACAACTGATTACTTTCTCCTTCTGGAGGAGCGTTTCTAACAAGGTTCGATTTTCTGAAAGCCGGGAAGAAATTGACGTGTCTTATTTAAGGCAGTTGAGTCAATCTTTATTGAAGAAATAACATGATGGATGAAGCTCAGCCTATTTTCATTATTGATTCAAAATTATGATGCGTTTACTGAAATGATATATATGGACAGAGACAAAAATGCAGTACCTTGTAAGTATTCTCTAAAGGGTAATGACAACAAAACCTCAGCAAGCTCAACATTTGACTGTTGCTGCCTCATGAGCACCCCTCCCCCACATACCTCTCCAGTGTCTTTGAAGACTGTTGTGCTTCCTGTCCTTCATGCAGCTGGTGTCATGTTTCACTTCCACAAGTTTATTCGTGCGTTTCGAGAGAGAGAGAGAGAGGCAAAACAGTGGTTTTAGGTGGTTAAATCGAGATTATAATGTGTACATTTGATTGGCTTAGTGGCTTTTTAACTTGGCCAAGTTTACAGTTCAGCTCAGATTACGTCTTCACGTTCTTCCCCATTGTTTTTAAAAATGATGACACGACTTTAGTTAGTGCATTTAAAGTAGCATAAATTGCTGGGGTATCAGATGGTGTTATACAATATATTAACCTGTCATTTCAGACTTTAAATATGTCAAAATAAAGGTTTTCTGAATAAATCCACTATAATAGATTCACATTCAATCTAGAAATGAAATTTAATTCTATCTTCTTCATATCTTATTTAGCATGATGGCTACTAAATTTGTCAATGTTAATACCAGGTATGACAAATAAAAAGTCTGGATTTAGTTCCAATACCACAGGACTGTTATTGATCGTGTCCTTTAAAGAGGTGTTGGGGAAATCAGAGCGCAATTGCCATCGATTCCCTCAGAAAAGCATTGAGTCTCACATAGAAAACAACAAATCCAAAACGTAAAGAAGCCTTTAAAGCAAGGAACAACTTAACTCAGCTTCTTACAGTAACCATATTACACAGTGAACTCCTGGATGACTTGTACTCCTTAGCATTGACCCAGTCATAACATGGCGCCTAATGAGCCTAGAGTAGAAGAACTATGGTTATTGTACCCGTCAATGTTAAGCTCTCTGATGTTCAAACATAACCTCACTCACAACCTTCTTGCACACCGCTTCATCTGCAGTAGGTGTGTGAGTGTGGTAGCGTTGTACTTTGTGTGCATTTGAGAATAGAATGATGTCATGCTTCTTTTCTTTTTTTTCAGTACGTTCTTCTTAGCACATTGCAATTTCTGTATCTTCAACATATGCGTTTAAAAAACATGTAGACCTACACACTTGAATAGATGAGGTGTGGCACGGCATGGGGAACCTTTTGTCACTAAACAGTACATATATAAATATGATTATACACATGTATAGATAAATACTGTATATTATATATAGACGCACACATAGAGGTCAGATTGTTTGTTGTGCACTCGCAGCATGAGGTATATATTTACCCAGAAACGGCGCTTCATCACAACCTGTGCAGTAATTGGTCTGCCCATGTCTTTGCCCCTGCTCCTTGCCCTCTGTAACCCTGTAGCGGCAGTGGACATCCTGTACTGCTCATCCTATTTCTATCTGTGTTCCAAGTGCCAATAACTTTGTGAAAGCCCTGTAACTGTGACCCGACATTATCAAAGGTAATTGCACATTAACAACTGTAAAATAAATAAATACAAATCATAGAGAAAATGTCAAAAATGGATTAAATAATGGATATCTTAATAAAAGATTTGTAACAATTTCTCTTTGGCTCCTTTTTGTATCTACTGGCTGTTACTGTTCAGCTGCTTGTTGGGTGTCTGCTTGTTTTTAATACACTTTTCATTTTAGAAAAGTGTTACGTAGAGATTTTTTTTATTTATCTAGAATTTAATCATGCAATTGACTATTGCCTTGAAAAACATGAGCATTCCCTTTTTAACCTACAAAATGCATTTAAAATATTGTTGATTTAGGTTCATGTATATGCTGAAAAATACATTCACAGTGAAAATCTAAATTAAGTCAGTTTTTCATGTATATTTCTGTGGATAAATCTCTTTCTGAAATGGCTAAATGCAGTTTACTGCACTTTTCATAAACCTACAGATAAAAAGTTTAAACATGCATGCTTGTTTTATGTTCCTCCTCGTGCACACTTCAGTCCTCACACCTGGACGCTGCCACGTGTGACCACTTTCTGTCACGCTTTGTGAACATATCGCCTCACACAGTTGTTCCTGCCTTCATTTGGCTACAGTTTTGCTTTCACACTTGATAGACAGCACTTTACCTGGAAAGACAGCTGTCCCCCGAGGCCAGTATTCAGTGACATCTTTCATATTCTGCTCTGGAACAGAGCAAACACTTGTGAGAAATAATTCTGTGTAAAGATTGTGAAATAAAGCTTTATAATGGCTCAAAATGCACTTCCTGTTATGTATCTAAATAGTGATTCGACCTTCCCTAAAGTAAAGACATGTTATTGAATAACTAAGCTTTACATAAATAACTAATTGTTAATAACTTTAGCACCACTTAAAAACAGCGTGGCTATTGTAACGACTTGAACCATTAACAGTGATTTGATCATGGTGATCATGGTCAGTCTATATGAGATGAGTTCTGATGTAAATGTGATTAGATCAACACATTCCGAATGACGCACTGTATGAGATAAACTATTGGCACTCTCCTCCTTTTCTTTGCATGTATGACCTCATCAAACCAACACTGGAAGGCCCAGAGCAGAATCCAGTTGTCTTTCTGATTTCCATTCGTAGTGCCCCACCCAGTGTTGAAAGGCCGACAAGACAAGTGACTGCAGGAACTCTATAGTGGATAAGACTGCACGAACAACTTCAGATCTTCCAGCTCGGCAGATCAAACTTAAACGTGTCATGGTGTCGCTTGATGGGCACTGAAGGGGACACGATGAAATGTGACCACACGTGTATCCATTGTGCTCAAGGCTGTGCCGTGCACTGTGAGTTTCTCCAGCAGAGGAGACAGATGTCCTGCACACCTCCCTGAAATATTTACTATTCAGCTCTGTTTACTACGTTGCCGTGTCATGAGCTGTACTGTAACCAATGCACATGTAATGTATGGTTGAATCTGAGCTGTTTTCAGTTATGCTTACCTTGCAGCATCAGCATGTAGACATGAAAAGTTAAAGAGTTTGTGCAGACCACAACAGAGCTGATATGAAATATGAAATGAGATGTAGTTGCTGTGTATCTGTCCTCCTGTTGTGGTGTTTTACGGCTCACTAGGGCAAATACATTGATTAATATACTTTTAAGGCGTACTGGAATTCATTACAGTTCAATGCAGTTGTTACATAATTGTCCTGTATGCATCCCGATGTTGATGTTATCTGAGGAATATTTTTTAAGAATTTAGCTGGGGTCCCCCTGACAGACGGGCAATGATATCGGTGAAATGCTCCCAGGCTGTAGTATCTAATGTGAAGTACAGGATACACAGAGACTATTCAGATTGGACTAATAAAACCGTTATAATTTATTTAATTTTACAGTCTCCGCAATTTTGCTTCAATTCCATTGCAGGACCACAAGAGGGCGCTCTTCAATCTATGATTGCACTGCAATGTCCAAAAAGAAGCGTTCCTCCACCTCTAGCAATGATTTGAAACATGACCATGGGCTGGGCTGAGTTTCAGTCAGAGGTAAGGACGAACTGTTGGTCTTTGGTGAGGCGATTGTCACTATAACAATCAAATAGTTTGTTTAAGAGAGGCAACTGAAAATAAAGCAAGGATTGGTTATAAATGATTTGTTATTTCTATCTGTGTTTTTTCTTCTCCTTCCTCTCACGTGCCGCTTCTACTTTGATGAATTCTTACAACAGAGAAAAGTACATTTCTTCTGACAGTCAGGCCTTCAGCAAATACAATTTAAAAAAAACAAAGGTCAGGCTGTTATCCTCTGCAGCTGTTTTGTTGACCTGCAGCCCCACCAGAAACAATCACCTGCATACCACAAATTCCTCTGGAAGTACAGGGCAGCGTGGAAAAAGAAGATCCCCCTCTCTCTGTTTCTCTTGAAGTCTGCTTTACACTTTCAATCTGATGCTCAGCGGTAAAATGTATAGTTATATCCTGTCATTCAGTGGATCCAGTTCGAACTGTAAATGAAGTTTAAGAGCACATCGCAGTGTCTGATCAAAACCTGGAGGAATGGATTCCATTGCCCAAATATGGGCTCAGGGAAGTAGCAAGCCCTGACGCAATCACCACTACTGTTACTTTAAATGGCTTCAGGAAACAAGGGCTCCCACGCACGTCATGGGTTTTCCTCTGCGTGTGCCAGAGGAGCAGGATGTGCTAATATGGGCATCTCTTCTCTTAAAAAGGAAGTAACACACACGCCCACACACACACTGGGGGATGGGTGAGAGTGGAAGAGAGCACAGAGACCGTTCTAGGCTTTCTTCACTGTTCCAGACAAGTCGAGCAGTGGAATGGTATTCGTCCCTGGTGTGAGAAAGACTAAAAATAGATGTTTTTCACAGGTTAGACTTTTACTGCTCCAGGTTTTGCAAATAAAACAAATACATTGTGGTCCATTTATAATGTGTTAATTATTTTGAAACATTACACATTTAGAAATGCCTGACATGTATTTTTAATTAAACAGCAGCCTAAAACCAAATTATTTTGGGATTTTTGGTTCAGTTTTGGTGTGGTTTCAGCGATGTAACACCGTTTCTGTGAGCCAATAAGTGCAGTTACAACGCCTAATTGAGCTTTGGATATTAAAGCAACAGCCCAAAAACATTTGCCATTAAAACTAGTCAGGACTGATTGGATCTGCAGCCTATATGCAGTGCAAAGACAGGTGCATGTTTGGCCAGGGTTTGGAAAACTGATGTGTGTGTGGGGGGGGGGGAGTGCTATAGTCCAAAAGTCAAAGCTGGTTGCATGTGGTAACCTGTTTATGTAACGTGTAAACTATAGAGATTAGTACGATAGAGATTAGTTTAACAGGCAGGTTGAAGATTCATGAAGAAATTAGCTGATAAAATAAAGCCCAAAATAGAAAAACCATAAATTGCCATAATGCACAGCTCTTAGGTGTAGCCTGTGCTCAAAACTATATGATTCATTTTACAAGTCTCCAGCAGCTGTTGCCAGGAAATAAACTACCACAATCTACTCTATTTCTCCGTGCGTTTGTGTAATGATTGTCTGAATAAGACAGCTTTGAAGTTGTGAGGTTTATTTTAAGTTGTCCCTCCTGTTTCTAGTCTTTGTGGTATGCATTTGAGCAGTGTTGCAATTATTTAAGGGGTTTGTTGTTACATCACCAGATGGGTTCATTTGTACATGTGCGGTTTTTCTCATCACATCTAAGTTTCCTCGTGCTTTATGTTTGTACTTGAACAGCTACATGTGCATATCCTGATAGATTAAAATAGCCACAGCTGCCTCGCCAGTTGTTGCATTCAGGCCTGTTAGAAATAGCAGACCGGTGTGAGGCCGGAGGGCGGGGCTCTTTCTTGTGACGCTGAGGGAGTGACGTCGACGAGGTGATAAGTAGTTGTCCTCCACACAGTCTGTATTGTGTCTGTGTGTGAAGTCAGCGGGTGGAGACTGAACTCACAAACATTAACCTGTGATTGTTTGTCCTGGACTAATTTCAAAACAAGCTGTGACATGGAGGTCAGCGTGGAGGCCAAGAGGATCATGGTCGTGGCTTTGGGGAAACTGTACAGCTCGCGCACCCAGAGAGGGGGTATCCGTCTCCACCGGAGCCTCCTCCTGACTATGGTAATGAAATCCGCCCGGGACATGTACCATGCGGCTCAGGCGACGGCGGAAAGTGTAGCAGCAGGATACGAACAACAACAGTCCACGGCCGAGGGGACCACGGAGCCCGTTGGCGCTCACAGTGAGCTCCCGGTTACCGCTTCGCTTGCCACCGGAAAGCCTCGGACTTCAACCCGAGAGGAGGTCGTAACCCCCCCCACCGAGCTCCGCCGTGACGCAGATAACAAGGAGAATCTGTGCCCGACTGGCGCGGCACAGCACTCGAGGAAAAGACGGGGCAAAGCGGCCATGGAGCCGGACTTCCTGCCGTGCAAGAAAGCAAAACTCGAGCAGGCAGTGTGCCCTCAACAGCTCAGCGTGAGCTCAGTTTTGCTGGACTATGTGAACTGCAGCAGTAACCTGGGAGCAGCCCCATCCCCCATCCCTCTACAGAGAGCCATTGCAGCGTGTTGAAACCCGGCCCAGATTAAAGGCATTGAACTTTAACGACGCGGCCTCGGCGCGTGAACGCGCCCACAGAGGGGCCTCTTCAAGGGTTGTCTGAATGAACACCCGGGGCAGTGTGTTCAGAGAGTCCCGAGCATGGCTGTGAACAAGCCGGGGCATGTTCCAGGAAACACCGAAGCAGCCCAGTGGTGTGTCATAGCCCCAGTGACTTTTGGCCTAATTACTGGCCACACAGCTCACTACAACCGGCTTCAGCTGGGAGGGAACACGGTTCATCTGGATGAGGCCTTGAGCCGCTTTAATGAACATTTACAGCTCAACAAATGTTATTGTGAGTGTGTGGACCAGTGCTGAATGAAGACTGGAAATGTGTTGAATAATTCAAATGTAAAACATTCAATGACAGCTACCTCAGTATTTATTAAACATGTTTGTACTCAAATCTGAATTTGGAGTGATGTGTGGTATGTAACAGAAACCTACAACAGCGATAGGAGGGCAGTAATGAGGGAGAAATGTGTAGTGTCAGTCATGGTGGTTAAAAAAAAAAATGCTGCTGTTAAATTAGTTGGGTATTTGTGTGTGGGTGTGTGTGACAGGAAACTGGCCTGGGTGTAAAGAAGTTTGCTTCCTTTTCCCACAACTTCACATCCCCCACACTGATTTGCAGAACAAAAGCAGGGACAATTCAGGAGATTGCGGTCCAAAGAGTGGGAGGGAGCTCGTAAAACCATTGTCCAGGCGTATACTTGAGAACAATTGGGGTTCCATGGCTCTTCAATAAGTGTTTGGGCCCAAATACTGTAATAATAGTCGTTGGTTTGAACGGTTAGGTAAAATATTCAATTATTTGGGAAGTTGATAAAAGTCAAAGTGTGGGTAATGATCAGTAATCCATTACAACAAGCTGAAAAAGTCAGATAAAGGAGTCCTAAAGTCTACCGAGAGCTGTTTAATCTAAAACGGGACTCGTTGAGTGAAGAGGATTACATCGTTCAAATCAATTGATTAGTAATTATGGTATAAACGTATTTTAGATACGTCCGCATCTATCAAAATAAAGCTTTTAAATATTTCCATATGAAAACAGGCTGTGACTTTTGGGATGCAACGCCCCTACAGACTTAACAGTGGGCACAACAGGGATTCACCGTTTGGGGGGGTTAGTCCAGGAAAACAGAAGCAGGAATGTGGGGGGAAGTGCCTGTGTGAGTCACACGAGGCCCCATCTGAGCTGCTTATTCTTCCGGCTGAAACCAGAGCATCCTGTCTATGTACACAGGGCCGGAACTGTCTGGACACGTCTGAAAACACACTCACTTTGTCTTCTCACATTTAGACTGCTCTGAACTCACACTCTTTCTCTTACTCCCTTTCCCTTCCCTCCTGCTTTTTCTCACATGTAAGCTCACTGTGAAGGAATATGCTGCCACATTTATGCCTTCTGCGTCACTAAGCCTATGGTGCTTATTATGGTGGTCATTTTTCTAGAGGATATTTTCCAAACTTGCTAATATTCAAGCCTCACAGAAACATATGTGCTGAATTCACACAGAGCAACTGTTCCCGAGCCAGCCCATTAGGTTTGATCGCTTAACGCTGAGCTAATGAACGCTTTTATACTAACGGCAAATTATAACCCAGCTTTGCAGTTCCTCTCACGTCATCTTACAATTCATTCTTCAAGCTACTGTCTTACTCTCATCAAGCCTGTTTCCAGCTAAAAAGCATTCCGTAAATACGCTGCCTGCCCAGCACCGAACAGCAGATAGACAAAATGATCAACTAGCTGGTGAACATAGTAGAGCACATAGCAGCCAAAAAAAAGGCATCATATTTCCATCTGGAGCTAGTGAAAGGCCAAACAGAGCTTTTTGCTTACAACAGGACACCTTTAAACCACACATTTGAGTGACACACACAAACACACACCCCCAACACACATCGTCACAGTTAAAATAGACGTAAGCAATAATTGTGGACAAGAAATGAGGCAAAACGTTTTGCATTCTCTCTGGATTTTATTCTTTAGGAAGAGTTCTGTTTGGAATTACAAAATGCACTGGTAGAAATAGCGGTGAGACAGCTTGAGAGTGCGACAGATAAGATAAGAGTGTGAGAGACAGAGTTAGAGAGAGAGAAAAAAGAGAGAGGGAGTGAGTGAGAGATCAAAGGTTCCACAGCCAGTTATTATGAGTGCGTCATCAGAACTGGCTACGCTCCTGAAACCCCCTGACCCTCACCAAAAGTAGAAGGAAGAATACACCATCTGAACTGTACTGACTTTTCTTTGTATATATATATACTTTTTTTTAAACAGTTCTTTTTGTGGTGTCCCGAACATGGTCGTGTTTGTGCCTCAACCTGCATGTAACAGAAGAAAACAAACTCTCACCAAAGTCTCTTCTGTGTTTTTATTCTTTAGACATTTTTTTTGGTCATTTTTAACCTTTTTTGTTCTCAAAAATAGAAGAAAAAAAAGGAAACGTTGCTTTTTAAAAACATCTATCTATCTATATATCTTTTTTTTTTTTTTTTAATTCCTCTGAATTCATTAATCTGCTTTTTCTTTTATGTCCTGAAGATGACTGTTAACCCACGGTGTGGCATGCACATAGCACATGCATTTCTGGAACTAGATATTTTTTCCTTGTTTTTTAAATCTTTTGTACTTAAAAAAAAACTTTTTTTTTGTTCTCTTCTCAGTAGCGGCTTTACATTGCTTTTTGAAGACTTTGTGTGGTTAATCAGCGTGTTAGTGGTTTTCACTGCAGCATAGACACAAAGATGGATGGTGAATGTTTGGGGCTTTGCATGTTTCATTCAGGGGGTTACTGACTTCACACACACACTCACACGCACGCACACACAGAATCAAAGATTGTTTCAAGGATTTGACTAAAACATTTTTAAGATTTCAAAAAGGATTTCTGGAGACAAAAAATAGAAAGCAAACAATAAAACACCCAAAATGTATCTGAAACACACTTACCCATGTACACACACACACGCACGCATACGCAAAACCCCCACTAACACACACACACACACACACACACACACACACCTCAACCAGGAGCTACATACTTTAGTGTGCTTTCTGATTTGAAAAAATACTTGTCTGTGACATTCCACTGAGGTTGGAAAGACACTAATAGGCAGTTTTTTTTCTTTTCTTATTTTTTCGGTGCATTCTCTGGTCAACGTGTGATAGGCCTCCAGGTTAAAACGCAGGCCAAATAAATAAAAAATAATAACAACAATAACGTTGGGGCTGACAGTGGTGTGCGTTAGTGACAAGTGTTAGATTGAGGCACACAGAGAAACACACAGAAATAAATACAAGATATACAGGAGTGATGCACACACAACAAAGGTGTTTTCCAGGACCATGACGAGGCCCAGACATCGTTTCTCCAACCCATCTGAAACTGTGCCATTCAGTCGCCATGTGTTTACACGAGGTGAGCACAGACGAGGTGGTCTACAAGTGAGAGAATGAGCTACGCTGAATTCTCGGTGCGCTGCTAGAACAACGTGGAATCACGAGTGAAGTAAAAGGAGAGAGGTACAAAAACTAGAGGGGGCACTGTATGTCATACAGCGCCTCTGGAAGGTCACAGGCGGTGGTGGAACTCTGCAGAAGATGCATCCATTTAAATGCAGAAACCCGTCGGAAACTGCTGCGTTTCACACATTTTTAAAGGGGGACTCGTTAAAATTCCCCCACGGTCGAACTTATATATCGGAGTGAGAAGAAAGACAGGCCCATCGACTGCTATGGATAATCTCTTGACTCGTGCTTGACCTCCCGCCGACTCATTCTCCCACAATGCAACTGTGGGCTTGAGCTCCACCTCCGGGTTGGAAAAATGATTAGCTGAGCTCCAAAGGAAACAAACATATGGAACAGAATGCCAAACCAAATATGGAGAATCGGTCCCATTATCAAGATCATCATGATCATTTAGAAGTTATTATATCATCGGTTTATCCATCATTACGGTCAATAACAAAGAAAACAACGATGAAGAGTTTCTCTCCTTTCTCCGCCTTTCTATTGGTCTCTTTCTCTCAGATGTGTCTGTTTTAACCCCAAACCCTGGAAGACTTTGAGAGGTTAATGATTTGTCGGACCTGTTCGCCACATCTTGTATCCACTTTACCCTGCTTGTACCGTTGTTCCACTTTAATTACAAAAAGTTGACTCCACGAAAAATATGTGCAATTCCAGCTGTATCAGTGGCAGGCATCTCGCGCAGAAAATACAGACAAGCAAGCAAAAAGTAATCATTTTGTTCCGTAGAGATACACACATAGTATTTAACCAATCTCCCTATAGCCTTCTGTCACTTGATTTTAGTGTTAATGAAGGTACAATGAGAGGAATGTCAGAGAGAGAGAAACAGAAAGGCTTTTTTACCTCAAAAAGAGAGAAACCCTGCAGACCACAACAGAAAGGACCAATAAAATATCCCCCCCCACATACAGTAGATTCTCATTGATGCTATTATTATTATTATTTTTTGTATCATTCATGCAGGATTCCACAGGGTGTACAACTCCGCAAGTCTAAAAAACGAAGCCGTGTGGGGTGCAACAGAAGATTCAAGCTTCAATGTTTTGAAGACGTAATAGAGAAGGAGGAGGAAGAGGCAGGAATAGAAGAAGAAATACTGCAGAAAACAGTTATTGGTTTGTTTTTTGTTTCTGAAAGCCATCTCCACGTTTGAGTTTTTCTTCTCTCACAGATCATGGGTTGAGGTTGGTTGCATTGTTTGTTCCGGGGAGCAGGGTGTTCTCCGTGAACAATGTTAAACATCCCAAACGCACCCATCCCGTCCTCCAGATGTTGACCAAAGGACTCGTCACGCCCGTGCAACACTCCCCAACTCTCTCGCCCACGAAGCCTCCTCACCTCATACAGGTGGAGGGCTCATCGTCACTTTTGTTCTTATTTAAAAACACAGATGATAAAACTCATCAATATTAAACTGGTGGCTGGGAGGGTTGGATTTGATTCTTTTTGCAGCTAACTCAACTGAAGTTAGCTTTGAGATGCAAAGAAAAGAAAGAAAACAGTGGTCTTTCTTTTCTCTCTGCTTGTAAAGTGTCTTTTGTCGAGTCGCAACTCTTGACATCTTGTAAGTGGCTGTAGCTCGTTGCCAGAGGCGTAAATTAAGACACACGACTAGTGTCCTGCTTGCATCCTGAGACACTGCAGTTTGAGTTGGTCTTATTTGGCATCAAGATATGAATGCAACAACAATGCAAGCAGAACATGGAGGCGGTTTCCCCTTACACCAATTGTTTCTCCAGATCCTGCCTCAGCATTCTTGTTCCACCCCCTTCATCCTGACACCTATCCCTTCATCTAGCCCGCCATCACTAGGACATGCCAACCAGAGGGGGGGGGGTAGGAAAACACTGAACAGGCAAGAAAGAAAAATTCATAGTTTCCCTTGGCAGTCAGAGCTCTGGCTCAGAGCCTCCTATCTTCATCTCGTGGTCCGTCTATCTCTTCCTTTTCCTCCTTACACCCCTCCCCCGTCCCCAGAGGCTAGCACCAGTCGTCGTCCTCCGTCTCGCTGTAGGGTTCATGCAGGCCCTTGCGGGGACCTCTAGGATGCCCAGCTGGAGGGGGGATCTTGTGAGGCCCTGTGTTTGGGGGTCCATGGGGATGTATGGATGGTGATGAGGAGCGGTAGCCGTTGGGCAAGCGGCGCTGGGCGGCAGGCTGCATCTGGCCCTGTACAGGCCCAGTCAGGGCGGTGGTGGGAGGGGGCGCTTGGCCGGCAGTCCTAGGTGAGGTGCGACTGGGCTGCGGGTGGGGCGGCGGATGAGGGTGGGGGTTGTTTACAGGGTGTGGGTTGTTTACAGGGTGTGGCTGGGGTGGAGGGAGGGGATGGGGGTTGTGTGGCTGTGCTTGTGTGGGAGGCGGCAGTGGGTGGTTGGCTAGAGAATGGGGGTGGGGGTTGCCACCTTGCATGGGGCTCTGCTCATAGGCAGGTGGTTCATGATGGTCCTGATTGTAGAAGCAACCGTCCCCTTCCACGGAGCCGCCTCCTCCACCTGTGTCTCCCCAGCGAGGTGGGGGATGATGACCTTGGCGGGAGGTGCCATGGTGAGCCGTTGGGGGGCCAGCGGGAGGAGGACCCTGGCCTTGGGGAGGCTCAGGAGAAAAGTGGCGGGGGGCTGGGGCTGGGGGTCGGCCCTGTGGCCCCACAGGTGGTGTGGGCATGGCCTTGCGGACCACGGGGGAGTAGGTAACATGCGGCCGGGGTGTTGCCGGGGTCTGAGGCAACTGTCGACGGCCTCGTCGCGGTGTACTGGTCCCCGAGGTGGAGGGGACGGGACTTCCGCTGACCGAACTACTGCCCTACACAAAAAGTGAAATAAAGCAAATAAAAAGAACGAACCACAAATTCAACGACAGAACATGTAGAATAAAGAGAATGGGAAAGATAGAGTGTGAAACAAACACAGAGGAAAATATAAAGAATGCAAGATAGAGAGGCAGAGAGAAAGCAATAAAGCAAAGACAAGAACAAGACCCACAGGAAGAACAAGAAAAAAAGCACCAGTCATAATGTGTGTGGAGTGGAGGAGAAAAAAGAAAGAAATGACCAGAGGATGAGGACAAAAAAGATGAGATTCCAAACAGCACCATACACAGAGAAGCAACATGTCACGCAGAGGAAAGGAAATAAAAGACAACAGGAGAAAAGAAGGGTAAAGGGTTGATTTCCAGAGCAACAGATGAGGTACAGGGTAAATATGATGACTAAACATACTCAAAATGGGTTTGGCTTTGACTTATTGTTAGTGAGCTGTAGGACATGAATGCATCAAGTTCTAGAAAGCCATTTTTTACAACACTAAGGCAAAAGTTAATTGGGGGGAAACAATTCTTTCCCAATTAGCTTTTGTAAAACAAGTTATAACTCAAAAGAATCAATAAATAAGGCTGAACGGTCACAGAAGTTTCTCAGCAAAGGCAGATCATCTTTTGGTTTCCTATTTTAATAGGAAATGTTTTAGATGATGTGTTTGGAGAGGATGCTATAAAAGGAAAGGTAGTGGAGGGAACATGAGAGAACATTGGCAGTTAAAAAACACTAAGGGAGGGCAGATAAGGACAGCAGACACTCAAATATACATTTGTATATTTGTTTGGTTGTTGGAAGAGTGATTCGATAGCAGTGACTTCATTTAACAAACATTTACTTGTATTCACATGATTAAACCCACAATAATGAATATGTTTGGATGCATGTAGTCAAACATATATGTATATATAAATGTACATAAAGGGCCCATACTATCTTTACCAGCTTGAACTCAACTTTGTGATGTTAAGGACAACAACACGTCTTGGCCTCTAATTTGAGGGCAGCAGCAAAAGATCAACTAGTCCCATAATAATTATATATTACAATATCAAATACTTTCTGGTTAACAGTGAGTTTATAGTCCTTGTTAGTACTTCTTTACCTTATCCAGAGGGCCCCCAGATAACTTTCATAATAAAACCACATCGGAACGTCACACTAAAGTACAGTGTTCCTTTACTGCCAGACTAGAGGCCCTTGCCCTGAAAATGTGGTCATATCACTGCTTTTTTCATTGCTTCAAACTAGACACTGCATGCACACAAGTACCCAGAAGCCCACCTGTCTGTGCGTCATGCACTCGCGACCCTCGCTGGGCGATCGTGACCAGCGCCGGTCCCTTTCTCTCTCCCTCTCCCTGTCGTGTTCTCTGTCGTGCTCCCTGTCGTGCTCTCTGTCGTGTTCCCTGTCGTGTTCCCTGTCGTGTTCCCTGTCGTGCTCCCTGTCGTGCTCTCTGTCACGGGAGTTCCTGTGTCCGAACTCGCCCCCTCGCTCTGCTACATAGCGCTCCTTGTCCACGGAGCCGTGGTGGTGGTGATGGTGGTGGTGGTGCTTTCGGTCTTTGGACCGGCCGCGATCTCTGTCACGGTCCTTGTCTTTGAACGTGAGGTCGCCCGACTGGGTGGTGGTGCTCAGGTCTGTGCCCAGGCCTGTTGGTGGAGTTTAATGAAGTTATTATTGGTGTGTGGGGAAAACACTAAAGATTGCTATGACATTAGATACCATGTGATCTTTCCCACCTGTGTCACCCTCCGTGTAGCGACAGAGGGACCTCTCAGATGCACGATGACTCCGGTCTTTTCGCCGGTGTCCATGTCTGGAAGTTCTCCCCTCCTCAGGTACAGACTCCATGTTGTAGTCGTCTGCACCTCCTTTGTCCCTGTGGCCCCGCCCAGACCTGCTGTGGCCCAGCGATGAGGCTGAGCGCTTCATGGGACTGCTGTCATTGATGGGCTGAAAGAGAGAAAGCGAGAACCCACCGAGGAAGGGAGGGAGAGAGAGGGAGAGAGAGGGAGAGATGAAGGGAGAGATGTTTCCTTTGATTGTCGAGTTGGTGTTGTCTGCGAGGGATAAGAGACATTGTGTGTATGTGTGTATGTGTATGTGTGTGTGAATGGCATCCGTTTCTTGAACCCTAATGAACCTCCCCAATCATACACTCCCACATTAGTAATATTTTTCCAGTCATGCTACTGATTATAGGGCAGGGGTCGGCAAAAAGCAGCCCATGGGCCAGATTTGGTACTCCATCAGAATTATTTGTCTCCTACAAAAAATATCAGCATAAGATCTTAATTATCCATCTAATATTTAAAACTATCCGTCACTCTGCACCAGGCTACTGAACAGGATGTAATGTGAAGAGCTCCTGTCTAATGAAATTCACAGAGTAATAACTAATAAAAAACAATTTTTAATATGAAACTATTGATGACGGTGTTATAGATCTTGTATGTTTCAAGATGAATAAAATAATATATATTTTAAGCATTCACATAACAGGCACACATCTCCATTGCACATGTGGCAGCCAACAAAGTGTGAAGAAAAACTGTCTCAGGGCTGAAACTGTAGTAATTGCCGACCCCCGATACAGAGGATCAAAAAAAGAATAACAAGAAATAAAGTAAAAGAGATGATGGCAAACGGCCATGCCTTCCATGCTTCGGTAACTTGCTTTGTAAAATAATAAAGGAGATAGAAATGTCAGAACCACTTGCAACAGCACTCCATCCTCACCACCATAAACCCCAGAACATGACACATTTCCTCTACTTTCCTCCAGCCATGCAGGTACATAGGGGCTGTCCTGAGTCCTCTACCCACACGAGAGCATCCTCTGCAGAGGCTTCATACTCTGAGGTGGGACAGCAGGACAAAAGCCTACGGCACCACAAGCTGCTGACCTGGGCATGTAAACCATATCAGGCTTCTTCAGTGCTGGATCCTTTTCGTTTTCCAGTTATTGTGTGTTAGACAAATCAACAGACAGGTGACCGGTTGGCCGATGTATATTTAACACCAGTTTATCTGGCCTCATAGGACTAGCACTGAGAATCCCAACAACACAACATCAATTTACACGCACATATAAATCAAATCATTCCTCTTTCTGTCTCTCATCTCACACACACTTACACATAAATATGCTCCCACTTCAACACATTTCAACAAATTTCTTGCATGCAGTTGTGAATGGAGACATTGACAACATTATTACAGACGAGCACACGGGCACGAGGACAGAGAGCAACAGAGCACTAGCAGCAGCTGAGAGAGAGAGAGAGAGAGAGAGAGAGAGAGAGAGAGAGAGAGAGAG